TTGAAAGACGGTTCCCGGGTATCACTAGTCCAGACCCGTTCCGTCTACCTTTGTCCCGCAACTGCAGACCCAATCACCTCGCTACTTTACAGTGATAGGAGCGAAGAGACTATCTATGAGCCAGCAGCGGCTGGGTATCCAATCACTTGCCAGTAGCACTGCCAAGGTGCTTAATCAAGGGTGTTTGCTCTCTCACTCTCTCTCTCGCTATTTTTTTTCTTCTCTTTTGGGTGGAGAGCCACGTTGCGCTCAATTTCAGATATAAACATTGCATAAAAAATGAGCAAATCCTTGACCCACCAAAAGGGTCCCGTGAGGGTGATATTCATTGAAAAGGACAGACGCGTTGGTGAACACGTAGGCATCGGTGACCTGAAAATCGAACTACAACGGTGCACACGATGTTTCATTTTCAACTGAAATATAATCGATAGAATCCTGTAAATGGAACTATCCAGGTTCTGACCGACCTCCATTACACTATCCAGAGTAAACTGCTTGCCGTGGCCAAGACGAAGTTTTACCTCAGAACATATGTAGACTTCCCATGGACAAGAAGGAACCTCGTACTATAAAACAGTACCCGATGAAACTGCTACTTCTAATGTTTTACATAATAAAAAACTTGCCTTGAGTGCTAGTGTTTTGCCTTCTTCATCAATTGCTTTGTATACTTTTGCAAATCCACCTTGGCCTATTAGAGTCGCTATGTGAAAAGCTTCACCACCAAAACTCATGGTTTTACCGGCGGACACACGTGGACAAGCGGTCTGAAAGGCACTTTACAGTGGAGATGAGTGGGAAACGATACACCAGTTAACAGGTATTCATAACATAACGTCTCACATCGAAGTTGTGCTGGTAGCAAGGAGTGCGAGAACGCCTGAGTATCTCCATGCGAAGATTTCTGTCCCATGGATTAATAACACTTGTGACTGCTTCTCTGAGAGAGTTTTAGTGCATAAGGCTACGTTCATACTTTGTGAGAGTGTTCACCAGTAACTACCAGCGTTTCGAGCGTCCGCCAGCGCCAGCGACTAGGAAACTATGGATATATATCCAGTGTCCGCCAGCGCCTCGAGGGACTAGAGCAGTATAGGTATTGGTGTAGCGAACATCAGCGTCCACCAGCGTCCCGGAATATTGAGAAGTAGGAGGGCACAGACAGCCAGATTAGGCGTCGTAAAATTGCAGCGTGTGCAGCCACACCGTTCAGTTACGTTAAATTGCTTAATTCTGAGTAGTTAGTAATTGGGCTAATGCCGTTTGGACTCCAGCAATTTCGGCACCGAGCTCATTTTTAAATTGCCTAAGTCACCAAATCCGCTAAAAACTTGTATATAGGGGTAGTTTAACATCCTGATTACGAATATGACATTCACTCTTGCCGCTGGCGCTAATGGATGACACTACGATTATCTGCGCTCTGCTAAGGCTGAGCCCAGAGGTAATCGTAGTGTCATCTCTTGGCGCCAGCGCCAAGAATGAGTGTCATAATTGTAATCACGATGTTAAATAACCCTTGTGTACATGTTTTCAGCGGGTTTGGTGACTTAGGCAATTTAAAAATGAGCTCGGTGCCGAAATTGCTGGAGTCCAAACGGCATTAGCCTAGTAATTGAAGGTGTGTGATTGCGGCTGCACACGCCGCAATTTCACTACGCCTAATCCAGCTGTCTGCTACCCTCCTACTTCTCATACTCTACTCCTGGACGTTGGTGTTCGCTATATACTAACTACCGTAGCTACCTTCCTAGTCGTTGGCGCTCGGGAAACTGCGCTGGTGAACGCTGCTGCAAATTTATGAACACAGCCTAACAATTTCAATCAAAATGAAATAAGACCTATTCGCTCACTTAACAAGTCCTACACCAGTCCTGTTGTGAGCATCACTACCATCGCTTTCCATTTCGTTCTCTGATGCGTCACCAAGTTTCATCTTATCCAACGCTAACTCCATAGA